AGAAAAGCCGAAACAACCAATGAATTCATCTTCTGCTATGCCTTATCCTTTTGAAGTATTCTCTGAAAGGCCTTGGGATTTAGGCCTATGACGTTCGGCAATGCCAAGCACATGTATGTTACCAAGGGCCAGAGAGATCATAGTGGTAATATGGCAATTATCTACTCATTTCCTACCCTGGCTGTTTCTCTTTTTCTGTACTAATCTTACAAACACCACAGAACTGGGATTAAAGAGTGACTAGGTTTGGGATAATCCTGTTGGCTTTCTCTGAGTCTTGAAGCTTTCAGGTTAACTTACATCATCTTACAAATATGAGTTCTAAGCAGTTCGACTGCAGTTTATTTCCAAGCACTAACAACGTGCCTAACAGCATGCTTAGCCGTTTTCCAGGACCCCCTATCTGAAGCCGGCTCTGGGAAGGGTTCAGTTAAGAATCTCTTGCCTTGGTGTGAGGTGGTGGGGGTGGAGGGTAGAAGAGATCCAAGTTGCTCACAGGAAACACTGTGGACATTGGAAAAGTAAAGGAAGTGGTTTGTTTATCTTGCTCTTTTTGCGACAGTATGGTGCAGTAAAACAAATAGTGAATTTGAATACTGAGTTACTTATTACCAGTGTGGCTTTGGCAAATTAACTAATTTCTCTAAACTTCAGCTTCCAAAACTTCATCAGCAAGATGATAAGATATGTGCTATTACCAATTCTAAGATATAGTTATGTAGCTCAACTTAGATTAAGTAAAAGAAAATAATTTAGGCTGCATATGCTGGCTTCTGCCCATAATCCCAGCACTTTGAGAGCCAAGGTGGGAGGACTGCTTGAGACCAAGAGTTCAAGATCAGACTGGGCAATGTAGTGAGAATCATCTCTATGAAAAATCTTTTTAAAAATTAGTTTGGCACAGTGGCACAGGCCTGTAGTCCTAGCTACTTGGGAGCCTGAGGTAGGAGGATTGTTTGAACCCAGGAGTTTGAGGCTGCAGTGAGCTATGGTCACACCACTAGGCTCCAGCATGGGTGACAGAATAAGACCTTGTTGCTAACAATATAAAAATTGAAATGTTTTTAAAAAGATATATTGGCTGGGTGTAGTGGTTCCCACCTGTAATCCCAGAACTTTGGGGGGCCAAGGTGGGTGGACTGCTTGAGTCCAGGAGTTCAAGACCAGCCTGGGCAACATAACAAGACCCTGTCTCTACAAAAAACTACAAAAATTAGCTGGGCATGGTGGCATGTGCCTGTAGTCCAAGCTACTCGGGAGGCTGAGGTGGGAGGATGGCTTGAGCCTGGGAGGCGGAGGTCGCAGTGCGCCACGATCTTGCCACTGCACTCCAGCCTGGGCAACAGAGTGAGATCCTGTCTCTAAAGAATCAATCAATTAATTAATTAATTAAAAAAAGAAATTATTTTATAAACTCAAAAGCCCTAAACAAATGTAATTTCTTGATATTACTACTGACATTATGATTTGGATAAGACTGTACTCTCTAGAGGGGCTTCTGGAGTCAGCATTTTAACAACCCTAGGCATTCATTCATTCATTCAACAAATATTTACTGAGTGCCTAACAGAACCCAGGTACTGTCCAAAGCCCTGGGAACACAGCAGTAAACAAAAACCAAATGCTTATTATGGTCAAGTGGCGATGGGAGATGAGGAGACAATAAAGTCATGTGAGGTAGTGCTAAATGCCATGAAGAAAAAGCAGAATTACAGAAACAGAATGAGGGGGGAGCCAGAACAGGCCTCTCTGAGGGGACCTGTGACTACATAAGGGAACCAGAATATATGTGCTTGGCAAGTCTGAGAAACAGCAAGGAAGGCCCTGTGAAAATGGGAGCTCAGAACTGGAGGTAAACAGTAACAGGAAATGAGATCAAGGAAGGGGAATGACAGCTGTGCCTCGTAGGCTGTAATAATAATAACTCCTTGAATTTTATTCTAAATGTCAATGAAAGCCACTGGGGGTGGGGTGGTTTTCAGATTTAATATTTACTAAGTCCTGCTACACACCAGGTCCTATGCTAGCTCATTGACTGTTGTGAAAAAGACATCTTTCGTCTCTACTTTCACTAAGTTCAGTCTGGTGTGGAAGACATACAATGAAAGAAGTAATTGCAATACAAAGCTTGGTAAGTAACATGATAAGAGAAAGTTTAAAGACAAGAAGGGTGAATAGAAATTATCTAGATTCTTATTTCTATCCCATCTTTTTTAATTCTAAATTCTAAAATACAGGAGTGGGTGGAGTGGGGTGGGATAAGGAAGATGTATTCTCGGCAGTGGGAAATGCTCCAGAAAACAGAACTTGTTCAGAGAACTAGAAGAAAATCAGGGGGACTGTTGGGAGAATGGAAGCTATGGCTGAAGAGATAGGCAGGAGTTGGGTTTTAAAGGTGTTTCTATGTCATTGTTTTTGAAATAGCAGACAGGAGATCAAGTTATTAAGTTGAAATCAGTGTTTTTTTAAATGGAATAGAGTAAAATATTTTGGAATGCACTGTACATAGTAAGGGTAAGTTTTGCTTTTTTAAAAACAAATTCTTTGTTGGCTGGGTGCAGTGGCTCATGGAGGTCAAGGTGGCTTTGAGAGGTCAAGACAGGAGGATCACTTAAGGCTAGGAGTTCAAGATCAGCTTGGTCAACAGGGTGAGACTCCATCTCCATAAAAAATATTTAAAAATTAGCCAGGCATGATGGTGTTTGCCTGTAGTCCCAGCTAGTTGGGAGGCTGAGGTGGGAGGACTGCCTGAGTCCAGGAATTGGAGGCTGCAGCAAGCAATGATCACATCAGTGTACTCCAGCCTGGATGACAGTGGTCCCATCTCTTAAAAAAAAAAAAAAATCTTTTGTTGTCAGCCATGGTAGTATATGCCTCTAGTCCCAGCTACTTGGGAGACTGAGGCAGAAGGGTCACTTGAGCCCAGGAGTTCAAGTCCAGCCTGGGCAATATAGCAAGACCCCATCTCTAAAATCAGGCAAACAAATCTTTTGTTCATTTGTATCCATATATGTGTGTTCTGGGTCACAGTATAAGATATATATTTTTTCTTATCATAGCCAAACATGTTTGTAAGCCAATGCTTGCCACCTTATGGAGTAAACTTTACCTTAGAGGCAATGGTAAAAAAAAGTTTCATGCTAGAAAATGGCAAAATCTGATTTGTGTGTTTATGTAAGAGAGAGAAAGAGAGTAAGAGAGTGTGTATGTGTGTATGGTATGTTTTATTTATTTTTATGTTTGTGTTTTGGAAAGATTACTCATGCAGCAAAGTTGAGAATAGATTAGAGGGGGACAAGACTGGAACCAGGAATCCATATAATTGGCTATTGTTTAACTGAGGCAAGAGAAGATGATTAGTATGGTATTGGAGGTGGCTATAGGAATGGAGGGTTGAATTGACAGGATTTGGTAACTGATGAGCTGTGGCAATGATGACAGAGAAAGCATCAAGGCTTGTGCTGGCCTTGGTCAGATGGTGATGCTATTCACTAAAGCAATGAATACAGAACAGAGCACATCTAGGGAGGGGGAGTTAAGTTCATTTCTGAAGATGTTTCCACTGATCTGATGTGAAGCCAATGGTTAGCAAATACTTGGATATGCAGCCCTAGATCCAAGAGGAGAGGTCCAGGCCGAAAAGTTAACTGAGGACTGATCATCACAGTGATCAATGAAGCTATTGGCTCCAGAAAGATATTGTAAAGATAAAAAGATCTAAAGGATGAACAGAGAAAAATGACTCTGGTAGAGAAGACTGAAGGGGCTCCCAGAGGACAGGAGGAAAACTGGAGAATGTGGCTTCTCAGAAGCAATAAGAAAAAGTGTTTTAAAATGTAATGAGTGACTCAACAATAAGAAAATAAACAACCTGATTTTAAAATGACCAAAAGACCTGAAGAGACACCTCAACAAAGATATATAGATGGCAAATAAGCATATGAAAAGGTGCTCATCATCATACATTACAGAAATTAAAACAACAATGAAACACTACTACACACCTATGAGAGTGGCAAAAATCCAAAATGCTGACACCACCAAATGCTGATGAGGATGTGGCGCAACAGAGGCTCTCATTCATTTCTGGCAGGAACACAAAATAACACAGCCACTTTGGAAGAGAGTTTTCTTATAAAACTATCCATGCTCTTACCACATGATCCAGGAATCGCACTCATTGGTATTTACCCAAATGAGTTAAAAATTTATGTCCACACAAAAATCTGCACAAGGATGTTACAGTAGCTTTATTTACAATGGTCAAAACATAGAAGCAACCAAGATGTCATCAGTAGGTGAAAGGATAAATTGTGGTACATCCAGGTAATGAAATATTATTCAGCGCTAAAAAGAAGTGGGTTCTCAAGTCATGAAGAAACATGGAGGAATCTTATTGCATATTACTATCTGGAAAACACCAATCTGAAAAAGCTACACGCTGTATGTTTCTGGCCACATGACATTCTGGAAAAGGAAAAACTTGTGGAGACAGTGAAAGGATCAATGGTTGCGGGGGCTTAGGGAGAAATGGATAAACAGAGCACAGAGGATTTTGGGAGCAGTGAAACAATTTTATGCGACATTATAATAGTGAATACATGTCACTATACATTTGTCAAAACCCACAGACTATATAACACTGAGAGAAAACCCTAATGTAAGTGATGGACTTTGGGTGATAATGCATGTTCACTGATTGTAACAAATGTACCACTCTGGTGGGGAACATTGATAAAGACAGGGAGTTTGAGACCAGCCTGGACAACTTGGCAAAACCCCATCTCTGTCAAAAATAAATAAATAAATAAATAACAAAAATTAGTCACACATAGTGGTATATGCCTGTAGCTCCAGCTACTTGGGAGGCTAAGGGAGGATCACTTGAGCCTGGGAAGTCAAGCTGCAGTGAGCCATGATGGCACCACTGCACTCCAACCTGGGCAACAGGGCAAGACCAAGGGAGGGAGGGAGGGAGGGAGGGAGGGAGGGGGGGAGGGGGGAAAGGAGGGAGGGGGGAAAAGGAAGGGGAGGAAGGGAGAAGAGTTAACCACTGCTTGGCAGTGATTAAGAAGAAGACTAAGGATAGGCAGTTGATCAATAATGAGATCACTGGTGACCCTGGCCAGGGCAATACTGAACCACTTCTCTGCTTCCTTTTATAGTAAGCTGGAAAGAGTGTATCTACTTCCTTTGTCTATTTTCCTTCTATTCCTTTTCTGTTGCAGCCACATGATTTAGGCTTTGCTCCTGTCCCTCTGCCAAAAGTGTACTTCAGAATCATTAATGATCTTGGAAGGCGAGCGAGGGAGGGAATAAAAAAGAAACAAAATCATTAATGATCTCCACGTTTCTAAATGCAGCATTCAGTTCTCAGTCCTCTTACCTGACTTGGCAGCTCCTCACTCCCTCCTCCCTCCTCCTGGGAACAGTTTCTTCACTTGTGTCCTAGCACAGCAGGCCCTTTGGCTCACCCCACCAGCCACTCTTACGATCCCTTTTCACCCGCCTCATCTCTAAATATTGGTATGTTCCAGAGCTTAATCTGTGGACCTTTTCTCTTCTCTGTAACCACTATCTAGAAAGTGAGCTCACCTCATGGCTTTAACTATGATCTATATACACTGAGGATTCCAAATACACATCCCTAACCCAGAACTCACTCCTAAATGCAACTGCCTATTCAAAATCTTGACGCTGATGTCTGATGTGCACCTCAAACTTGACATGTCTGAAATATGTCTCTGACATGTAAGTATTCTTCCCTAGTCATCCCCAGCTCAGTTAGCAATAAGTCCATCTTTCCATTTGCTCCGGACAGAAACTCTGGAGTCTTTCTTTCGTATCAAATCCAACACTAAGTGTTATTGGAGCCAAACTGCCTGGGTTCAAATTCTGCTTCAGCCACTTGGTAGCTGTGTTATCTTGGGAAAATTGCCTAATCTCTGGCTTCAGTTTTATCACCAGTAAAATAATAATCTTATGTATCTCATAGAGTTGTTACTGTTTGTGAATTGCTTTGAACAGTGCCTGCCACACAGCATGTAGCATCTCTTGAATCCGATCACTTCTTACCATCTCTACCCTGACACCCCAGACTGAGAACCAGCCACCAACATCTCTCATCTGGCTATTGTAAAAAGTCTCCTCCTAAGTGGTCTCCTTCCTTCAGCCCTTGTTCCTTTCAACCTACTGGCAACATAGCAGCCAAAGCGATCTTTTTTAAACAAAAGTCACTGCATAATTTTTTCACCTTTTTAGTATGTTTGAAATTTTTCATAATACAATTTAGAAAAAACAAAAGTCAGATTACATCACTCCCGTCAAAACCCTTCAATCCTGTACACTTCAGTCAGAGTAAAATCTAAAGTCTTATGCTAGCTTGGCCCCAAAATTAAACTCCCTCTTACTTCTCTGACCTCATCTCTCTTCCTCATCTCTCATCGCTCCTTTCTTCCAGGCACGCAGGCCTCCTTCCTGTTCCTTCACTCAGCCATGCTCCCTCCCCGCAGCCTCTGCGCTGACCCCTCAACAGCTGGGGGTGGGGGGGTGGTGCTCTTCCCCTGGACTGCACAGTGTTCACCTTCACCTTTTTTCAGCCTTTGCTGAAAGGTTACTTTCTCCATGAAGGGGTTTCATGTAACTTACCACCCACTATCCTAACTCCTTCTCTACCGTATTTTTCTCACAGCATTTAGCACTATCTTATATACTATGAAGTCATCAGTTCGAAGGAGACAAGTTAAATCTACTCCAAGGTTCACCTCTTTATTCTAAAATGCAATTTCCATGGGCTCGCACTTGGTTGTTAAACCCAGTGGACACATGTTCTTCCTTAAAATGAAAACAGATGATTAAGCAAAACTATGTGACTTTTTGCATTATCTCTAAAATGTTCCCTTCTTATATGCAAATAAATGTTGATAAAATACTGCTAATTCTGGGTATCTAGTATCTATTTTCAATGTTAAATTTTTCCATGACTTAGCTCTTACTATCCACTTATTAAAGAAATTTTTAAATTGATTCTGGAGGACAAAGAGCACAGAAATAGGAAATAAAGCAGTAGCAAGACTAAGATGCAAAGCCTCCTTTCTCCTTGGCATTTAAAACCACACTGCAATGAGAACTCAATAAGGGGAAACATCCTGAAAAAGGGTAGGAGGATGATAGAAGTGAAACAAAAAAATTTATTTCATTACTGCTATGCCATGGGCCTACTGAGTCTTTACATACATTATCTCATTTAATCCTTAAGTAACTGCAGCCCTCACAAAACTCTCAGCCAATTTATAAATGAGGAAACTAAAGCTCATACAGACTTAGGGCCCAGATTCAAAGCCGGGTAGCGCTATCTGATGCTAAAACCTGTGTACTGCACTCTGTTTCTACAGAACCTTGCCTCCTGGAGGCATCAGGTCAGCAAGCTGGATTTAAAAAAGGTTATAAGTAGGCCATTTATACTCTGTCACTAAATTCTGGGATAACTCAGTGGGTCTAACTTTCACGAACCCATTCATAGCTGTGTGCTAGCGACTCTCTTACCTGTGGACATAAAAAATGGGATGCGGAACTTTCCACTCAGCACACGGGCCCGCAGATTCTGCAGTGTGCTCCCATCAAACGGCAGGGCACCACACACAAGCACATAGAGGACAACTCCAAGGCTCTGCAATCCAAACAGAGAGGATGCACAATTAATCCCAACAGAGGAAACAAAAACCACCACTGTAGTGTGTGTATGCAGATGATGGTGAGTCATGCATAAGGTTATGGAACAAACTTTTTCTTCTATCTTAGAACAGTTAACAATCTTCTTTGCTTCTAGGCATTAATTTAGGGTAACATCCTGAATTTTTCTCAGTACTCATTCTCTGGAGATAAAGTAAGTGGCCACAGTAGAAAGAATCTCTGTTCTTGGCAAGGGCCCCCATTCAGGCTGGCCCTTGGTTCTTTTGCAGATGCCAAGGGGAAATTTGAAATCTGTGTCTCAGTCCATAAGGTAAGTATTGAAGGAAAGACTGCACAAGCAGGCAGGGCACGGTGGCTCACACCTACAGTCCCAACACTTTGGAAGACCAAGGCAGGAAGATCACCTGAGGTCAGGAGTTTGAGACCAACCTGGCCAACATGGAGAAACGCTGTCTCTACTAAAAATACAAAAATTAGCTGGGTGTCATAGCGTGTGTCTGTAATCCCAGCTAGTTGGGAGGTTGAGGCAGGAGAATCACTTGAATCTGGGAGGTGGAGGTTGCAGTGGGCCAAGATTGCACTGATACACTCCAGCCTGGGTAACAGAATGAGACTACGTTTCAAAAAAAAAAAAAAAAAAAAAAGACTGCACAAGGAATTGGGACCTGAAAGAACAGGTGACCAGGATCTCAATTCATGTGCATCACATGTACCCTCCAGGATGAGAACAGCTGTCATCAACCAAGGGTAGCTAATACTGTGGGGTATAAGAGAAGGCAGTTACCTACCCAGATGTCCACTTTGGGCCCATCATATTCTTTTCCTTCAAATAGTTCAGGTGCAGCATAGGGAGGGCTGCCACACCATGTCTTCAGCAGCTGCCCAGGAGTGAAGAGGTTACTGAAACCAAAATCTAGAAAGGCAGGGTGACATAATTAATATTATTGTAACCTTTTATTGTAACTGAGCAAACACTAGTCTCTAGTCACTAAAGATTCCAAATCATTAAGTGTGAATATTAAATGCAAAAAGAGAACACTTAGAAACCACATAGCCAGACACTTAAAAAATAACAGTGAAACAGAGATACAGATGAGCTGAAATACAAAGATAAACATAATCAGTTTATGTCAGCAGAAATGGTACAGCTCCCTTTGTAAACCTAGGCAGAAAAAGGCGAATGGTACTTGTTCCTTTAAGAATGCAAATGAAACTGGATGATGTTAAGACCACATTAGAATCAGGAAACACATGTAAGCCTATTCAAGTAATTCACACCCAGAATTTCTGTGTTATTTTTACTTCTTATGACAAACACATCTATGACAATTTAAAAACTAGACAGTGATATTAATTATAATTAAGGTAGTTTATTCAAAAGGAAGAATATATGATTTACTTAAAATTAAAATGTAAGCAAGAATGTAAGCAAGAATGCTTACATTTTAATTTTAACTCCCCTTGTGCTTCAATTTCCCTTCCTTCTTCTCTCTCCCTCCTACTGCTGTAAGAGGCATTAGATGGGAGGTAGAAGGGATGAGTCTTTGGGAGACGCACTAACACAATGAGCAAGGACGGCCAGCCAAAGGACTGAGTCTTTGGTGTAGAAATGCTATTATTTATGTATGCATGCCCATGTGACAGGCTAGAAATCCCTCACGCCCCAGGCACACACCATGCTCCCTGCAATCACAGCATCTGAAAATGCTAAGTACCAACCTACTCTCTAAATTCTTCCCTCTCTTTTCTAGTTTTATTCTTGTTGACAACTCTCCTTTTGCTATTCGCTTTCCTTCTTTCTACCTTCTATAGAAGGTGTTTTCCAGCAAGCTCTGCTGATTTTAACTGCCTCTCCTTACTGGATGTTTTCTCAGGGCTCTCCTTTGATCTCATCACTTCCACTAGCACTTGTTTGGGGATAATTCCCCAAATTTATATGTCTGGCCCTGGTACCACTCTTAAGTTCCTGGCATGAATCCCCAATACTTGCTTGGGAAGAAAGCCTCAACCCCACCATTTTCCAAAGTCATACCTGTGCTTTCAGTGCTCCTATCCTCATTAGTGACATTACCACCCGTGTTACTAGAAACACTGCAGTCATCTTTAAATCCTGTCTCCCTCTCATTTCCCAGCTCAGGCTGCTAATACAACTCTCACTGCTTCAACTCCGTATGTCTTGAATCCACCTCCTCTGTTCTATTTCCATTTCTGCCACTGTAGTTCATACTCTTATCATCGCTAGCTTAGACTGATGCTATTGCTTACTTCCTGTCTATTTCACTTCCCCCTAAGCCATGCATTCATAGCACAATTACACAAACCAGAGCCTGTTGCCTCCCTGCTCAAAAACATGGGCTGGCTACCTTCTACTTACAGAAGAGTCTTCATCTCAGCACTATCATTTAAGGCCCTTCACAACCCAGCTCCATCCAATCTTTCCAATTTATCCCTGGCCATGCTAGCATCACTAGACTATTCACATCCTGTGTTTACATGCCTTCCCTATGCTATTTCCTCTCTGTGTCATGCCTTTTCCTTTCTTTTCCATATTTAAAATATCACTCATTTTCAAGGCCCAGTCAAATATTACTTCCTATATGAGGTACAGGAACTGATTTCTACCAGAAAACACCATGTCAATGGCTTCCTCCCCTGTGCTTCTACAGTCTTTTTTTTTTTTTTAACGCCTCTACATCCCATTAGCACTCTGCCTTATATTATACTTAATTGTATTATGTGTTTATACCCTCCACTAATTAGTAAATGGAGGAGATACTGTTTTCTTTTTCTAAAGAATAAGATGTCGTTTTCTAAACACTGGTTCTAATACATAGCAGAGACTCAAGAAAGGGTCATGAAATTAAACTCACTGGGCAATAAAAACACTGGACCATTTCCTCTCATCACCTTCTGACTACTGGAGACTTCTCAAACTGACAATGGCAGCTGGCCAACAATGAGAGCCTCTGCTTCCTAGCTGTCCCTCCCAAGGTTCTAAAATTAACTTAATGATCATAAGGGGTGTGGCAGTCAGGACCACAGATAGAATCATTATAGCTTCTTCTATGAGAAGACAAATATTCTCATTCATTAATGAAAATAAATAATACTTCTGTGAATTCTCCATGGATCCCCTACAAGAAATGTCCCCTATCTACTCTCTTTATTATTTGAATACATATATAACCTATTCTTCTAGCTCCTGAAAAACACCCTCTCCTGTGAAGATCTAGCCTCTCTCTCTAGTTCCTTAAGGACACCGTATTCTTCTCTCTTGCACAGTATCTAACAGTGTTTAACAAAGTGGGCACTTAATAAATGTTGACTATGAACAAAACTGCATTTAACGCTCTACCAACTAACCTACAACTTTTGAAACACTGTTACTTTCACTTACAAATTAAAGTCTGCACATACAAATCACCATTAAGATTTTTTCTTAGGAGAGTGGGGACACGTTGCTAAAAATCCCAACAAATGAGATTCAGCAAAGTTGACGTCTCTGGAAATTATCCAGAAAGGAGATGCTTAGGTTTGCAAAAATAAAAAGATAGAAAAAAGATCCTTAGGTTTGCAAAAACCTTCACCAGATCCTTTTCCATGATCAGCCTTCCTCTTCTCCACAGTGCAGAGGAAAAATGCAAATAATTCTGTTCTGCCTGATGGATTTGGACACTGGAATGACTGAATAACAAACTCTAGAAGAATCACGGAGTTTTTTGTTTGTGTTTTCAATGCAGCATACAACAGGCTAAGCAATGAATTTAAACCAGTTGAGTTTAAATTTTCCTATAAGCAGTTAAAATGAACAGATTTCATTTTGAACCACTAATGTTCAGTAACCTTTCTAGCATTTTACTTTGCCAGGGAGGAGAAGGCGCAAACTTAATAGCATGAGCTTGTTATTTTATCTACCAAACAGGAAATCGTTACAAAGAAAACAACATCAAAAGAAACCAGCTTCAGCAATGTCTGCAGGCTTAGACTGCTACTAGTTAGTAGGTTTTATATGAGAAATGAGTGTATGACAATGAACGATATATTAGGGCTAGACAACTAGAGAGGGCCACATCTGCAGAAGCACCTGCTTCCACTATGTTACATCCAAACAGCTGGCTTCATCAACCAAATACTACTGGCTTGCTCTCATCTATTATGCACCAAACAAAATCCTCTAGTCTTGGAAACCTGTCAAGAGGTCTTCTATAATCTCATTCCAAGTACTGTTACTCCCACCTCTAAGGTG